AAATGTAAAAGTTATAAGAAAATGTGATTTTGCATAACCACAAAAAGATTAAGAAATTAGAGATTTTTATGCTACTATGATAACAATATCTTATAATATAACTAGAAAGATTATATAATTATAATATAAATATTATTAGAATAAGTATAAATAATATTTAAATTTTTTTTCTAATATTTTATAATTAATTAATGAATTAGAGATTAATACTAAAAATTAATCTGATTTTTATCTATAAAAAAAGAAGAAATAAAAAACTATAATATTTTTTTTTAGTTTATTATTAATAAGATATTATTAAGATTATTAATATAGAGAAAAATGCAAAAAAAATTAATAAAATAAAATATAAAAAAATTATTAAACAAAATAATTATTATAAAAAGCTAAAAAATATAAAAATAAAAAATACAAGTATAAAAGAAAGAAAAATAAAACATATAAAAAAAAGAAGTAATAATTAAAAAAAGAAAAGAAATATAAAAAAATTATATAATATTAAATTATATTTTTTAATTTTTTTGATTAATATTTATAATATATTATTTTAATTAATTATTTAAAAATTATAAATTTTTAGAGAAAAATTTCTTTATTAAAAAAAATTTTTTTTAGTTTAAATTTTTTTATTTAAATAAAATTTTTTTTTTGAAATTTAAATAATATATATTTATTATAAATTTTTAAATTTTATATTAATTTTATAAAATTATATTATTAATAATATTAATTATATTATAATATTCTTATTTATCTTATTTTTTATTTATAATTATTGTGACAGATTAAAACAAATTCAGATTAAAATGAATTCTGGTCCTTTTTTTTGCATATAATACATGATTTATGCACATAATCACGTATCACATAAATGTATATGTGAACACGTAATTATATACAAATCACATACTATTAATAATGATATATTATAATGGGAGAACAATTAAAACATGATCTGAATAAGGGTAATGGTTAGAGTAGAGGACAAGATTATATGAAAAATTGCAATCCTGACATTTTTCATACCTTGTGTCAGATTTATTTTGCACTCATGATGAACTACCATACATTTAAAAATAATAATGCATCATTGAAATAATGATGCATGATTATAATAATGATGTACTATTACATCTTAAAGTTTTTATTATTTGCTCAGACAATAAAATTATTTTATTTAAAGAGGATTTGTCTCTGCCTCTTTTAAAAAAATCTATCTGTCCCCATCATCTGCCTCCCACTATCTGCTTCCTGCTATCTGCTCCCTGCTATCTGTTGCTCGTCTAAGTTTTCTTAAGTTTTTTACCGCAAAAGTCTTTATTTCACTATTGATCTCAACTCTTACAGTTCTATTATTGCTACACATAGATATAATCTTCCCACTATTATTACACATCTGCTCTAACTTTTGTTTTCTTGTTTTTTGATTGGTATCATGATCAGGAGTAATTGTGACCTCATCTCCTAGCTCAAAGACTAATTTTCTTTGATGAATGCTTTCTCAAATCACAAGCTTATTTCAATAAAGTTCATCATTTTTTGCGATTTCTCTCCTTACTTTTTCAACTTGCATCACATGAGTATCATAGGCGGTAACTTGGCCATTCATGATTGGCATATTCTCTATTTCCATGACCATATCATATGTTGCCTCTACGATTGTTTCACTTGGCATATCTGTTTCATCTGATGTATCTTTCCTCTTTTCTTCTTCGATCAAGATACATACATCGGTGCTTGCAGTATCATTATCCTTCTCTTTCAGCATAGTATCAACTTGTATTGTTTCATTCAGAATATTGCTGGCTTATATTGTTTCGTCTGGTATATCATAAACTCCTCATATTTTAAATTCAAAAAATGCTTCATATAGAGACTTTTTGTAATCTTTGTAAGGTACTTTATTATATGCGATCACAAATAAGGGAAGAATATCAATTCATTAGTAATCCTGAATCTCAAAGATTTCGTTTCAAAGCATTTTTGTTAAATAGTGGCCAAGCGTTTGATTAAACCTCTCAATTTTTCCTTGGCTTTGTGGATGGTAAGCACAACCATAAACAAGTGTCATATTAAAGATATTATAAGTACGTTTTAAGATACTGGTTATGAATTCCAAACTATTGTCTGCTTGAAGTATGGAGGGGGGGCCAAAACTCATAAAAACTTGCACAATTGCATCATGAATTGTACTGCCTTCTTTGTTTGGAAGAGGAATGGTCCAAATATAGCATGAAAATACATTGATCATTATCAGAACGTAACTATATCCATCATTATGTTCAGCAAAGAAGAGAAAATCAACCAAGTTAACCTGAACATGTTTAAGAGGGTCATTGGCTATGACGGGTATTAGATCAGCTTTTTCTTTGATACTGGTATTTTGGATACAAGTCAGGCAATTACTCACATATTATTTGACTTTACCTTGCGTAATGTGAATATGCTGCTCATAAATCATTACGTATATTTTGTGGTAGTCAAAGTAGGCAGCTCTGATGTGAAATCTTTTAAAAAGAACTGCTCTCAACTCCACGTCATAGACAGAAATGACTCTTTTTATGACGGACTGGAAATTTACATCTTTCAGCTATTAAATATAAAAAAGATAACCTTTCTAGTGATCATATGCAAAATTTTTACACCACCTTTGAAAATTCATTCTCTTTGTTGAGGTGTTGAACTTTGTTGGAAAGGTACTGGACTTAACGTAGCTGACCACATCATTAAAATCCTCAAGTATTTCTGGAATTTTTGGCAACTTCACCATTTTGAGAGAGAGAAAAAAGGCGCATATTGATTTTTTTGTTTGTTAATACGTAAAAAATTATGCGTGACATATTGTGATACAGTATAAGGGTACATTTTTATTTATATAACTTGATATTAACATCTCCCTAATCTAATATAATTGACAAAAACAGCTTGAAACTACCATAATGAGGAAAATAATACAAAAAACTGCACAGCAAAATGACAATCAGAAGGGTGAGACAATGAAAACTAATAGTAAAAATATACCAAGCTAATGTGGTGAGACAGTGGAAAGACTTGATAACAAGAAGCATAACAAACTAGCTTGTATATTCTTCGATACCAAAAAAAAGAAAATGGCTTGCGTATTCTTTAACACTGAAAAAAAGAAGATGGTGGAAAGACTCAAAGCCAGTTGAGAATTCATGAAGCAATCAAGAAAATGACTGATTAAATGAGGAACAATTTAATCCAAAGTGCACAAACCAACTGAGAATCCACCTAGACGAAATATCCAAATAAATAGGAAATGGTAGATAAAGAAAGAGAAAGGATAAAGAAACCAAAAAAGTGACCAATCAAATGAGGAGCCATTAAAGACAATTTAACCTAAAGAATTGCGCAAACCAACCAAGAATCCATCTGGGCGAAATATCTAAACAAATAATGAAAAGAGAGGGAAATGGAAAATGAAGAAAGAGGAAGGGTAAGAAAAAAAATCACTTTTTTTCCTACTGAATTTGCTATTGCATCATTATTAGTTGTATGTGACACATGATTAATGATAAGTTGCATACTAGTGCATAAATGTTAAATCATATATTATGATAAAATAAAATCACGTGATGTGCACAAAAAAAGATTCAGAATTCATTTTAATCTGAATTCATTTTAATCTGCCACAATTATTTATTATTATATTTATATATTAATAAATATCTTCTAAAAATATTATTATTTAAGTATAATAATTTTAATTATATTATCTTTTTTATATTTAGATCTTTATTTTATACTATTTATATAATAAATTATCTTCTGTATTATATTTTATAAAAATTAATTATATTAGATACATAAATAATTATTTATATATTTAATATATTAGATTTAATATATTATCATATAAATAATTATTATATTATTATGGTGAATTGGTAAGTGAATTTTTACTTGAATTTACCCTAATGATATAGGATTGGAAGAGATTAAAATAATTAAAGGTAACAAGAGAGGAATTAGACTATAACTTTCAATAATGACAAAGATTTCTAAGACCTGTGTCAATATCTACAAATATTATCTTAACAAAGAATAATAAAATAAATAAAGAAATAAATAAATCAAAGAAATTATAAAGATTGACTAAGTGAAGCTACTAGTAATCGATATAATTCAAGATTTGAATTGATT